CCGCATTTTGATACAAGTTTCACCCCTCATAATAGTACGGCTATCGATCCTAAATGTGATCACACTCGCTAAGTGTCTCTATCACTAAACCGAAAAGCTCCTATAAATTTCACCTTTGCCTTGTGCTTTTTGTTTTTTACTTTCTTCTTTCCTAAGTCCAAGCACTTGATCATTACCATGGCATCACCATCATCATGTCATGATCATCATTTGCTTCACCACTTAGAATATGCCACCTATCTCATAATCACTTTGCTAAACTAGGTTAGCACTTAAGGTTTCTTCAATTCACCAAAACCAAACTAGAGCTTTCAGCGACCTAGAGTCCGATCGAGTCTAGAGAGGTTCTAGAGCGTGAAAAACACGACCGGACGTGTCAGGTCATACGTGACAGAACGTGTCAGGTCATCAGGTCATACGTGATCGGACGTGAAGAGTTCGGTCGGTTCTGCTCAGTTCCCCACGCGCTACAACGCCATGACCAAACACGGGAACAGTGTTCCGCCAACATCCGGTCGTGCCCTGCTGCCTGAGTCCGATCGCAGACTCAAAACGCACCGTCTCTGCGCGCCATGACCGGACTCAACGTCGTGGGTCCGGTCGCGTCACCTCACCGGGTCTGGTCAAGCCATGAAGACTGGCCGAGACCAAGGGTTATGGACCGAACTAAGCCCTCATGGTTCGGTCACACCGAGGCCCAGAGTTCGGTCACCCAAAACGTCTCCTTTTCTTCTTCAATCTCTTCACCCTTGTGCATGTGTGCCAACTCCAAGTATTCCAACACATGTGTACGTGAGTTAGCAACACTCCAAGTCAATTCCTAAGGGTTTGTTAGCTCATTAGGATCCAATGCACATGCAATCGAGTTAGATCACCTAATGGCATTTGATAACCGCATCAACTATGATTTCTCCCCTCTTCATAGTACGGCTATCGATCCTAAATACACTCAAACCCTTTATGGTGTCTTGAGTGCCAAAACAAAAACCTATTTGATACCTTTGCCTTGATCAACACTTGGTTTTAGTTTTTCTCTTTCTCATTTTTCAAGTTGGAGCACTTGATCATCTCTTTTGATCACCACCATCTCCATGACCATCATCTAGCTCCATCACTTGGTGCGTACCACCCTATCTCATATACAACACTTAATGACAAGGGTTAGTACAATAGGTTTCATCAATTATCCAAAACCAAATTAGGGCTTTTAGGGGACCCTCTCCAACTCCTAGTCCTTGCGCACCTCGACATACCTCTCCCGCCTTTGAGCATACAGGAAGACGCCGACGAGCAGTGTGAGGAAGAACCGCTTGGCTCGGCCATGGCCAGGACCTCGCAGTCGCTGGAGCTAGTGGTAGGCACAGCGGTATTGGGAGCACACTAGAGAAGAAGTCGAGACACGGCCATGGCCCAGCGGAGCGCGTACAGCCGGTGAACTCGGAGGCAAGGGCGGGGCACGACCATGGCAGAGAGTGGCTCGTGACGGCGGTCAGCGCCCGAGGAAGGAGGCCGGGGCGCGCTTGCGGCCAGCGCAGCGACGGAATCTTGCCAGATCTCACGTGCGCGGCCTCTCCAGACCTCGCGAGCGATGGGTAGCCGACCATGGCGGGCGTGGAAGGCCTCATGGTCTCATCGGAGCTCGCCGGACTGACGCCCTCCATTTGTTTGATGAAGTGCCAAAGACGATGTTTGGGTGGTAATGTCACCATGTTCTAGGTCCAGGGTCATCGTACTCTTCTGTACAGGCAAACAAACACGTTCTCACCTGAGCTCAGCTCTGCAGGAACATACAATCAAACACAGGCATTTGTACCATTTGGACCGAACTTTGGCTGGCCATAGCCAGGCCAGCCAGAGGCGTGAAATCAAACACGCCCCAAGTATCCTAGGAGCGTAGAGTCAAAACGTACTTTTTACCACCAGAATATTGCGACATCACTAGATGGCACGGGCCAAAAAATTAGGATTTTGACGTGGCCAATTTAAATATAGAGAATGACTAAAATTATGATGAAGTTGGTGTGGTGCTCTAGTTTTTTTTGTGAAGAGTTATCTATTTTAGAGAGTCTCTAAATCATGATTTTTAGATCTTCATTTTCCGGTCTCTTGGAGATGCTTTAAGTTTGTAACCACCACTGTCAAAACCAAACATTGACCATGTGCTATACTGCTTTAAATCCCCAAGAACATGGCTACTACACCTTCTATGGAAGAATGCAATTCTCGCTTCCTGAGAGTCAAATAATTCAAACTTTAATAAAAATTATATGAAAAGATATGAACATTTATGATACAAAAATAAGTGCCATTAAATTAATTACGGAATATATTTTCATAATAAAATTTAGAGGTATAAATGCTAATACTATTCCCATTAAATTTAGTTAAATTTGAGTAAATTTAATTGGCATGAATCTATAATTGTATTATTTTTGAGATAGGGAGAGTGCTAGCTAGCAGAGGCATCAACTGCTAGTTAACATTTTGCCTCATTGATGTGACGTGATGTGCCTCGATGAGGCCCTTCATCAACTCGCCAGCATTTTGACATTTTGGCCTGCCTCGCTATAGACCGTTGACAATAATGGAGGTCAACCGGCCAAAGCCCACAGGGATTGCAACGGTTAGCCACAATTGTACATGCAACCCAGCGAAATGTCCGCTCTCTGTCCACACACACACCCCAACCCCCCAGCACTCTCAATACAGAAATCATCATAATTTTTATTGATATTAATTATACTGTTATCTAAACGTTTTGTTGATGTGGCAATATATTTGTTGAAAGAAAGAGTAAAAATTATAGAAACCATATCTACATGAGAACCAAAACATAAAGGGATGTGATTGGCAGATAATGGAGAGAGAATGTATGTGATTGGATAAAAAATTATTCTGTAGAAACTATCTATTGGGACCATGGTTTCTATACGTATTGTCTATGAAAATTAATAAGTAGCATTGGGACTACCCTAAGGTCTAATATGGGAGCAAGATGAGTAAGCCCAGGGAGGGAAAACCTTACTCTGGAAAAGTTTGAGATCCCTTGGGGATTTGAGTTTCCATATTAGCCCTAAGAGAAAGTACGATAATTAGCTTATAGCTGAGCAACTGTTGATGTGGAGAGAAAGAAGAAGGGTGAGGAGAGCTTGATTAACCTTTTTTTAATAAAATAGGTACAGCGTCAACTTCACCAATCACCAAGCGAGGCGCTCCACAATAATCTAGAATTAACCTTTTTAATCAAAAAAACATAAATACAGCAAACATGACCTAAGCCGATGCTCCCTTCAACTCCAAAGCTTCCACTTCGACTTCCGGCATTGCTGCATTTCTTGCGCAGTACGAACCACGAAAGATTCTCTTTTTTTCATTATTTGGTTCATTACAATATATGTAATAAATAAAGTACATTTCCATGTTCACATAAATGAATTCCTCGTAGCACGCATGTTACTCAATAGTATATAACAAAGGACAAAAAAGAACAAACATTTATGGTGGAGAAACTAAGGCCATTTGTACAAATATGCTTATTTTAACTTGTCCTGAAAACCATCAACATTAATGAGCTTGCTCCTCCGGTGATAGCAAAGCTGAGCCGTATTTATAGACTATACTAGCTCTGCCCTGAAAAGGATGCAATTGTAGATGTATTTTTGGTTTTCATATCCAAAGTTTGATCAAATATATAGATAAAATATTAATATTTCTGATACTAAATAAATATATTATGGAAATATATCTCATAAAAATTAATTATACTTATTTTATGTCATAAAGATCTATATTTATTTATATATAATTGGTCAAATTTGATATACTAAAATATGACTTGTATTCTTTCTAGAACGGAGATAGTAGTTATTAGGACTAAAAATAATTTTTTGCATTGTCTCTATTTTTTAATAGAAATGGTTCTTATCAAAATATGGCTATAAGAATGGTGGATTTGTAGAAATAGACATGTAAAAGCTTATCAAACACGGCAACACGTCTATAAATCCTGGCAGTAACAATAACCGGATCAAACATTTAACCGTTTAGGATTTGTTTGGTAGAGATCCATCAACTCCAGATTCACCAAAACCAAATCCAGATCCACTTTTTTTCGTCAAACGCTTCTAGCTCCACAAGCTCCACTGTGGATCTGGTTCACCCAAATTGGTGGAGCACGTCCCGCACCTAGCCGTGTGCGCCCCGCGCCGCCGAGCACCCAGCTCGAGCCTCCGCTTCGCGTCACCGCATGCTCCTGTCTCCCGCCGCGCGCGCCACCACCCCACCCCAGCCCCCGCCCCTGGCCCCTGGCTCGGGCGGGCCCTATGCACGCAAGGAAAGTTGTGCCCTCCTGCACGGAGGAAGAAGAAGTCGTGCTCTTTTTTTTTCTGACTCGTAGGCCTAAGTGGTCAGTGAGATAGAAAGGGAGGTGGAGTTGTACTAGACACTTTGGTGAATCTCTGGTCCAGCTGGTTAAACACATGGTTAAAATAAAATGAGTCATGCAAGAAATAGTAGATGAGAGAGGAAGGTTGTCATGACTCATGAGCCATGAGTCCATGACCACCCATGAGGTGGTGAACTGGTGGTCGCCTCTTCTCCGTGCTATAAAGCCACCCTCCCTCCCTTCCCCCTTCCCCAACCTAGCTCGAAACCCTCTAGTAAATCTCCCTCTCATCCCGCCCCACCAACCCAACCTCTCCAAGCTCGTCACTGTTAGAGCTGGTTGCTTGGGGGCATTCAGCTCAACGAGCACTCGCATTGTCAGTTTGTCACACACATCTCCTTTCGGTTCCCCCTCTCCTCCATCGGCACCATCTCCATGAGCAGCAAGCAATTAACCACACGCGTTGCGCATTGCCTTACGTCTTCCTCGCTTCACTTCTAGCTCGCTAGATCTATCGCTCCATCTCTTGATTCTTGGCAAGAACAAGAGAGCAGGAGCAAGATCGAAGTGCCTGCTTGGTGAGTTAGTACTAGCTTGCGGCGGGCGGGTGGCGGCGATGGAGCTGACAACGATGCTGACGCTGACGGTGCTGGCGTGCTTGGCGGCGATGCTGGCGCGGCTGCTGGTGGCGCGCGCGCAGCGGCGTCGGTGCTACCTGCTGGACTACGTGTGCTACAAGGCGACGGACGACCGCAAGCTGCCGACGGACCTGTGCGCCGAGATCATCCAGCGGAACCAGCTGCTGGGGCTGGAGGAGTACAAGTTCCTGCTGAAGGTGATCGCCAACTCCGGCATCGGCGAGGAGACGTACGGCCCGCGCAACATGATCGAGGGCGGGGAGGCCCGGCCCGACCGCCTCCGCGAGGGCATGGAGGAGATGGACGAGACCTTCCACGCCGTCCTCGACGAGCTCTTCGCCCGGTCGGCGGCGCCGGGGGGCGTCGGCATCCGCCCCGCCGACGTCGACGTCTTCGTCGTCAACGTGTCCATGTTCTCGCCGGCGCCGTCGCTTTCGGCGCGCATCGTGCGCCGCTACGGCCTCCGCGAGGACGTCAAGGTGTACAACCTCACGGGCATGGGGTGCAGCGCCACGCTCATCGCGCTCGACCTCGTCAACAGATTCTTCAGGTGCGTGCGTGGATTCTCATTCCGCTCTTTGTGCATGTTTTCCTTCCTTTTCCCCACCCCTGGTCTTTATTAATTATTAATTCTATTATTATGTTTATTGTTTTCTCCAGTAATTCTCTTTGTTCCGAAACTACTCCACCGGCAAAGATAATAAGATCTTATTTAAAGTCTGCGGTGCTCCTGTAGTAATATGCATAAATATTTCTGCACCAGGATCGTCCACAGTTATTAAGTTGTCGCTAGTTTGTGAGACGAATATATTAAATCTAATTAAACATTAATTAGCACATATTTATTGTAGCATCATATGGGCTAATCTTGAATAGTTCTTTTAATTGATGTCTAAATATTCGATGTGATTTGACAAAGAGTTTAATCTGGGGATCAAACACCTCTCTAGTATTATTTGGCCATATAAATATTTAACATTTTTTTAGGGAAAAAAGTCACTACAGTAGCCAAATTCCTAAATTTCGCGGAACTAAACAAGGCCTTACATACAGATACAGTACTGAAAATAACCACAATGATTTTATTTAGCGGTGAGGTCATAAAAGGGAACCTATCATAGTTTTTTTTTAAGATCTGGTTTTTCGGTCTTAAATTATAATAAGAGGGAGGTAGCAAACAACTGTTATATGCACGAGGGGCACCACCAGCCACAGCTTAGGCAACGGAGGTTTGAGGTTGGTTTTGCATTTTCAACAGGGATAGACTAGAAAAAATATTGTATAGTAGAATTAGTACCACTATGTCGATGATAGGAAAGCTCACAAATAAGGTCTTGTTTCATCCTCTAGTTTTTGCCGGTTTTCATTTGGAAACTGGGCGAGATCTAGACATGCAGTTTTTGCTGCCGGTGATATCCAGCTTTTACCAGTTTCTTGTGATCCATAGAGCAGTAAATGAAAGTTTGGATTTTTAAAAACCAGAGGATCTAAACACTCATCGGTTTTTGTTCAAAATCTAGATTTTAAAAATAAGATGAAAAACTGGTTTTTAAGAATTCGAACCCAATCCGATCAGGGCCTAAGCAGTACTCCTGCAGGATCATTAAAGAACCCCGTGTTCCTTAGAAATCAATGTCTGGAAAACATTTTTTAGAAGCCGAGGTCTAGGTAAGGCATTAATCAGTGTAGTAAAACTGAGTGCATCCTAAAACAGTCTGTGTACTGTGGCACACTCCCAGAGGAGTAAAGCATAAATCATTTGCGTTGCCTTCCACCGCTAAGGCCTTTTTAAATCTAAGACGTAAAGTTTTGTGACGTCCAGTCGGATGTTACGTAGAAATGACGTCGATATTAATAAAAAAATAAATTACAGAATCCATCGGTAATCCACACGATAAATTTATTAAGTCTAATTAATCCGCCATTAACTTTTTCTTCCTCGGCTCACCCAATGCTGCCGCGCAAGAAGATCCATCCAGAGATACCGAGATGGCGATGACAGTAGCCGCAGCCCTATGAACACGGGAATAAATGTGGCCGGGGCCAGCAGTCGCATGAATGCTGTGCTGCTTGAGCCTGCCTACTGCGCGCGCACTACCACTACAGCATGTGAGCCAGCCAGCTACGGCCTATTCCTCCTTTAATGCCTGCTCACCAAGTTTGGTTTGCCTTTGGATGGGCATGAATGAATGGCTCAGCCGCTCGGCGCTCAGGCCTCAGGGCACCCGTAACAGTGGGTTCTCTGTAACATGTTCACGTAGGATATATACTCCGTAACAAACACAGTAGATTTATCTTGTCTAATGATCTTACTGTAGCACCACGTTTATATGTCCACGTACGATAAAACAAACACTGTAGATTTCTTGTCTAATGATCTTACCATAGCCCCACAGTTACGGAGAACAAACACTGGTCTGTTCGCATGGGATTAAATCCAGCTGAAGCTGATTTGTTGTAAGAGAAAAATATTGTAGATTCTAGCTGATAAGCCGGCTGATAAGTTCAAGCGAACAAGCCGACATAAAGACCACATGGTACTTTTTTAAGGAGAAAAATTCACCGCCGGTCCCTGAACATGGCCGGCGGTGTCATCTAGGTCTCTGAACTTCTAAAGTGATATATGTGGGTCTCTGAACTTGGCAGACGGTGTCATCCAGGTCCCTAAACTTTTAAGGTGATGACCGTAGGTCCCTAAACTTGGCTGATGGTGTCATCCTGGTTCTCGAACTTTCAAGGTGATCACCGCAAATCCCTAGACTTGGCAAGCGGTATCATCCCTATCCAAATGTGGTCTAATCTACACTATAAGCTGGTGTGTCACGTTGACTGTACGTTAGACGTAGATCCAACCTGTATCAATTAATCAATCATTATTTATATAATATTTATCATGAAAATATAAATTATATAAAATAATTCACAACAACAAATATATCAGGTTTAAACTAAAATAGAAAAATACTAAAATTAATTTAGTATTTATGTATCATTAATAGTATTAAAATAATATTAAAATTCCTGTAGTATTAAAAGTTTTCTCTATTAAAAGTTACATATAATTTCAGTATTATTTTAAAAGTTTTAATAGTAGTATTATAGAAGTACTTTTTCTCTATAATAATGTTATAGTATTAATAACATAGAAACGTTACTTCTCTAATACTACTATTAAAACTTTTAAAGTAATACTAAAATTAGAAGTAACTTTTAATATTATTATATTTGGATATGGATGACACTTTTTGTCAAGTTTAGGGACATGCGGTGGGGAACAGAGATGACACCGCTAGCCAAGTTTAGGGACCTGCAGTGATCATATTGAAACTTTAGTGACCTAGATGACACCGTTTAGCAGGTTCAGGGACCCACAGATATCACTTACGGATTGGAATGACACCGCCGGCCAAGCTTCAGGGACCGGTGGTGAATTTTCCTTTTTTAATATAAAAAAACTGCATGTGGTGGTAGGACCCACATGCATGAAAAGCCACCTAGCAGCAATCGTCAGGCCTAGCGGCAGTCCTTGCCCCTCTCTCCTAGGTGAACTGCGATACAGTGGGTGGTCAACGGCCCGTTGCGGCCTTGCGGGTGCCCTCAGGCATGGCTCATGGCTGGCTGGCCGGAGCCTGGACTGGACCTGACCTTTCCTCTGCCCGCCCGGCTTGCTTGCCCAGTGGGCTCAACTGTCTGGTTGCTGCTGCCCCCCGGTTCCGGGCAGAGAAACAGCCAGGCACACATCTCCACCCACCCAGGTCTGATGAAATCCAATCCAACACAGACACAGTGGTTGTCTGGCACATGCAATTCTCTCAGCCGTGGGAGTGGCCGGCAGGAATGCAGTGTGTTCCTGCCTTGCATGCATTCTACAGTTTGCCCCATGCAGTTCCATTCCATGGCTGACTGAGGAGGCTCTCTTTCTCGTGTGGTTTCTGAAAAGGGGTGGTTTGTTTTGTTGTATCGCTTGCATGAGGTTGGATTCAGAGAACGAAAAATGTGGTTTGTCCGAACCAAGTACTGCACTTGCAAACCACTAGGAGGTGTCGTCGCACATCTTGCATGACAATGGTGTGTGCATAGGAGGTCGCCGCCGGTGTTGTGTGTTCGCAGTGAGATGCGCCGTACACACACAGAGGGCTGAGCTGTTGTGGAATAAATAGGTGATGGGATGTGTTCGGTAGATCGGTCTCACTCTCATGTCTGGAATTGGATCATAATGACATCGACAACCTACCTCAACATATGCCAATCGTCTGGATCATGACATTATTTGTGTGTGCCGTCTCAAATCAAATGAATGAGCTTCTACTTCTTTCAATCAAGGGGAAAAAACATTTTCGGAAGAAAATGGTATCCTTCCAGTGTTGAATCTGAACTCTGAAAGGATAAATGTGATCTTGATGCATGTTTGTCATGGATGGATACTTGCAGTACGCACGCGGGTCAGGTGGCTCTGGTGATGACGTCAGAGTCGATCGCGCCCAACTGGTACGCCGGCAACAAGAAATCCTTCATGCTGGGCAACTGCCTCTTCCGCTCCGGCGGCTGCGCCTACTTCCTCAGCAACGACCCGCGCCTCCGCGCGCAAGCCAAGCTCCGGCTCCGCCACGTGGTGCGCACCCACACGGGCGCCTCCGACGAGGCCTACAACTGCGCGCTCCAGATGGCGGACGACGCCGGCCGCCCCGGGTTCCACCTGGGCAAGGAGCTGCCGCGGGCCGCGGTGCACGCCTTCATCCACAACCTCCGCGTGCTGGCGCCCAAGGTGCTGCCGCTCCCGGAGCTGCTCCGCCTCACCTGCGCCACCTTCTCCGCGCGCCTCGCGCGCAAGCGGGGGTCCAAGTCGTCCAACCACCTCACCATCCGCATGAAGGCCGGCGTCGACCACTTCTGCGTCCACACGGGCGGCGCCGCGGTCATCGACGGCGTGGGCAAGGGGCTCACGCTCACGGAGCATGACCTGGAGCCCTCCCGCATGACGCTGCACCGGTTCGGCAACACCTCCGCCAGCAGCGTCTGGTACGTGCTCAGCTACATGGAGGCCCAGGGCCGGCTGCGCAAGGGCGACCGCGTGCTCATGGTCACCTTCGGCGCCGGATTCAAGTGCAACAGCTGCGTCTGGGTCGTCGAGAACCACGCCACCGACGCCGGCGTCTGGAAGGACCGCATCCACCAGTACCCGCTCAAGGACGTCTCCAACCCCTTCATGGAGAAGTACGGCTTCCTCAAGGACCTGACCATCGATGGACCTATGATGTGATCCACTTCATACACATCGCCATTCATTCTTCGATTCGACAGGCTCAGGCAAGGACGATGAAACTAGCTTGCTTCTTCAACTTCAAGAGAGGGGTTCATACTCCATACATGCATGGATCACCATTATATTCAATGTCGTTAGTACTCTGTTGAACAAGTAGTTAATTGCATTGTGAGCACAACAATCAATGAGACTAAGCTGAGGATTCATAGGTATAATAAGTAGCTTATGATTCTTTTGGTGGTGGCGGCGGGAGACTTACGTAGCAACGGATATGGTTTCTACTCCTTTTTCTTTCTTGATCGAGTTCTATCATTTCCTTTTTGTTAATTTGGATTGGATGCCCCATGTCGTCCGTCAGTCAGTGTCGTCTTGTTCTTGTTTACTATAAAATGATGATGGTGAATTAAAGTGCAATCATTTTTTAATTAAGTTATTTATTTATTTTTGTGTAAGGATAAATGGTGATGTGGGATATCCTATATTTCAGGTGTCTGAAATCTAATTTATTTTCAAGCAACAGCTAGCAGCCACTAGATTAATATCCTGGCCACAGTCTATTTGTATTGATGCTGCACGGATTGAAGAATAACTCACGCTTCAGGCGCCTGACATCTAGGAAACATGAATAAATATATCATACTCTCAAGGTACAAAGATATTTTATGATCTGAAAGTTCTCCCGGAACCTTTTTCTAGACGTTTGCAGTTATGAAATTTCAGTGTGCCACAATTAGCGCTATTCAAATAAGGCATCACCATGTTTCATGGTGCAAACTAAAGAGTCAAAACCGATAGAGCCATTCTTGTTTGGCTAATGAAGTTGAGAGCGAAGCTAAAAAAATGGAGCAAAGCAGTATCAATCCGACCCTAAATTAAGAGGCCCGTACCATGTAAGCATCCACTTGGAGCATAGTATTCGTTGTCCGAGGGACAGTATGGGACCTCGTGGCCACGCCGCCACGGTCCACCGGGAGCATATTCATCTCATTAGCTGAACGTGGATTTTCTACATACCCGAGGCGACATAGGTTATCATGGCTGGTTGCGAGCGTCAAGATTCGCGCCATGTGTGTGTGTGTGTTGGGGGTGGGGGTAGAAGGGGAAGAAGACCAGTGCGGTGCCGGCGGGCAGCGACGGCGGTGGCCGACGACTGAGGGCGGGGCCGGACCTCGGCGGACGCCGAGAGCTGCGGCCGGGGCCAGTGGATGCTGGGGGTCGGCGGCCAGGGCAAGTGGACGCCGGGGACGAAGAGCAGGACGCCGGTGGAGGTGGTCGCGCTCACGGAACAGACCCACGAGGCACACGAGCGCGAGAGGTTTAAGGAGAAACAGAAGCGCACGAATCTTGATGCCACAAACGGCCACAAATATAGACCGTGCGGCTACATGTACATATGGTCTTGCTTTTCCCCATTATTAGCTGGACGGATAAGTTGGTAAAGCTGCCAGGAGCCCACAAACACAAATCTACTATCCTTTACCATCTCATCTTCACGGACACCGTAACACCGTGTGCTCATTTCACTGCATTAATGGAATGCATCAATTTATATACCGAACGAGTCGTGGCCGCTCATGTTGTTGAACCGGGACCATTAAACCTGTAGTACGCCATGGCAGCACCTTGCATTGCATATATATACAAGGCCAGCCAGCGCAAGCACGTACGTTGCGCGTCTATGATAGGTCCATCCATGGTGCATGCATGCATGGGCCACGCCCAGATTTGATAGATCGACAGTGCAGCGAAGCAAGCAAAGCATGGGGGGCACGGCACCGTCACTCTTCGTTGTCCACATTCAGGGCTTGTTTAGTTCGCTCCCCTAAAATTTACTAACTATTCCATTAAATATTCAGACGCATGCGTATTAAATATAGATCGAAAAAATAACTAATTACACATTTTACGACTAATTTCCGAGACTAATCTTTTAAACCTAATTAGTTTATGGTTTGACAATATAGTGCTACAGTAACCCCATGTGTTGATGGCGAAAAATTAGGCTTAGTAAGTTCGTCTCGTGGATTACTGACGGCTTCTGTAATTTATTTTTTTATTAGTATCCGAACACCCACACGACACCCCTATATAACACCCGATGTGACACCCCAAAACTTTACCGGCTAGATTTAAAGAATATTTTTTTAATTTTAACACTTTTTGTAAACTAATTCTAAATTTAACATTGTCTGTTTTTTATTTTCAAATCTAACACTTTTGGCCGCGCCTATTGCCATGGCGCGGCGAAATACCTGTACCGCGCTATGCATGGTGGCACGACGAGAGGGCTGACGTGGCGACGATAAAGACGTCGGTGACGTAACAGAGTCTGCCGCGTGACCGCTCTTGGTGCGGCGCCGCCGTGCCATCCATCGCGGCGCGGCCGGAAAGAAACAGAGAGCGGCCGCTGGGATCAATGCGACGTGATGGGCTAGCACATCTTGTACGAGTAGAACGCTGCATTAACTGCCGTTTCCGATGGGACTGTTCAGCAGGAAAAACACACAGCGTCGCGGGGCGTCGCGTGCACTGTCCACAGTGGGCATCGGTCTACGGAGAATCCGTCCACTGTCCACAGTGGGCATCTGTCCACTGTCCACAGTTAATGTAATGTTCTACTCGTACAAGATGTGCTAGCCCGTCACGTCGTATTGATCCAGCGGCTGCTCTCTGTTCTTCTCTGTCGCGCCGTGATGGATGGCGCGGTAGACCCTGCCATGTTACCGGCCAGCGTCTCGGTCGTCGCCACGTTAGCTCTTTCGTCGCGCCATGATAATAGATGCGGCCAAAAGTGTTAGATTTAGAAATAAAAAATAGACAAGGTTAGATTTAGAATTGATTTAAAAAAGTGTTAAAATTAAAAAAAAATCCGATTTAAACGAGGCCTCGTTGGGAGCCGCCGCTACGTGGCCGGCCGGGGGAGGCCGGGGCGGCGACGAGTCGACCGATGAGCTAGAGCGCTGGTGCCCGCCGGCCGGCCTCGTCGCCAGTAGTAAATGAACGGCACGTGGGCGTCGGGCGCACGCCGTGAGCCGCTGCGCGAGCCGGCCGCGGCCGGTGTTTTCCTGCCTGTCAGTGCCAATCTGCCATGCCTCGTGGTTGGTCGATTCTGTTTTCCAGTACGTACGTGCCTGCTGGACCCACCGCCACCGGGCGCGCGTATTCGGTTGATGGGCGACTAGCGATGTACGTACTCCTACTAGTGGTGTGGACGCGAATCGGCGCGGTGCCATCAGCTCCACTGCTCCAGCCTTCAGCCCCGCCTGCCTGCGCGCGTCGCTGGCAGGCGGATTCGGTCGTTTTTGCGGGCAGCTTGTCCTGTTCGATTATGCTAAAAAGTTATGAGTGAAAATACTGTTGATTGATTTATGGTAAGAGAAAAATATTATTTATTAGTTGAAAAAGTACGGATTATAAGTAAGTGGGTAGGGTTCCCGCGCACGAACCGGATGTGGTGTGGGATATATAGCGCATGGGGTCTGGATCTGGATTCGGCATTGCATTTGCAGGCATCATATTCATAGAGCGACAGTGCGTGATTCCGTTACCACCACCACCACTCCATCGGTACGTGCACGACTTGGTTTGGTTTGGTTTTAATCGTGAACAGCTAGCAGCATTACGGGCTGCGCTTTTCTTTCGGCTCCCTCGAAGTCTGCCGTACTACAGGCGTGGCGTGATGGAGAGGAGACTGGAGACCCACCAAAGAAGTCTCGGTGCATAATAAAACGCTTCGGTCGGTGCCTTTAATACGTCAATAAATACGCCACAGTACGTTTGTCGGTCACTGGTCAGCGCCTTGCGGTATTTATTGGCTGCTATTTTGCCAGGGGACCGCATGGCGCCATGGCCAGGCAGCGAAGCCAGCCTTTTACGGACTCGAAAAAAAAGAACACGGGGGGACGTGATTGGCTGCTCGGGGAAGGGGATCCGGGATGATCCGGATGGAGGGTCGATCCTGGGTGGGGTGAGACGAGCTAAAACCATATACTAGGTATATTTAATTGTAATTTTGAGAGTCATACTGGATGACAGTAAGTTGGTTTGGTTGTCTGCTTGCATTAATTAGGAATGAGCGGGTCCTTCTTGTGTTTGGTTTGCAGCATGGCACAAGATGTGAGCACCCATATATCATTTTGGTGAGGTTACTACTATTTTCATCAAAACAAGCATAACAACACAAACATTACCTTAAATCAATTTGTATCATCATCCACTAAGACTTTAGAGCATAAGAGATATTACAAAATAATACAACAGTCCAACCAACTATTAAACATCAACAAATCGGTTCCTAGTACCTCACAAGGTCGAAGTAAATTGATGAGTACATGTTTATAGGTTAATCATCACAGGCAGTTCTTCCCACGTTTAACAATGTAAAAGATGAGCACCAGCAACATGAAAGACTGAACCATGCAAAGAAGAAATAGCCAAGATGGTTTGGCAACGACAGTGGCAGCAAGCTTCTCAATAACTTTTTCATCTTCTTAAGTGGTTAACAGATTGGCCTCATATAACAGTTTTTCCTCGGTTGACCTTGAGCTTAGAGCATAAGAAACACAAAAGGCAACATAGCAATGGTAAGAAACAAACATGAAAACCAATAAGAACTAGACTAGAGTTCCAGTACCTGACAAGCTCAAGGTCATCAGGTTTTTGTAATCCAGTACACATGGCAGTTTAGTTATCATCATAGGCTTAACAAGAATATCAAAGACAATTACAAAGAAAATAGTTGGAACCGAGTGTCAGAAAAGCTATGAAGCCTTGAGACACATCCATCCCCTGCAATCAGGCACTCTAGCCGAGGATCATGCATTTGCGACGTACCACATATTTAGATAAAAAAAGTTAGTCGTACCTCAGATCTGAGCGTGGAACCAGAGGGAAACGACAAGGAACAAGTAGATCAGGAATAGCGGGTCATAGATCTGAGTATGTAAGAACAAGAACCCTAGAATCATGACACAACTCAAACAAAAATCCGCACATAA